ATCTTTTTACCCGCAGAAATGAGCTACAAGTCTGTTTACCGGGACTTTTTAACTGGCCTAGAAGAGGGTAATACTCTGTGTGCACTCAAATACGATGCCTTTCGCAAATTGTGGCATCAGCTAATCCCACATATCCAAATTATGAGTCCCCGAACCGATTTATGTGATACCTGTCAACACTTGCGGAATGACTTGCAATTCAAAGCTCGTAAAGAAGAAGAGGCCCAGGATTTATTAAAGAGATATAAAGAGCATCTCGCCAAAGCTAGAGAGAAATTATTATAATAAAAATACTAAATTGGCGGAGGAACAAAGAAAACTCATTGATCAGAATTACTCTATACTGAAGGGCAAGGTGCCATTCTGCAGCATTGATGTGGTTGCCCACTACAGTTACGATTGAGTCCAAAACGTCCATGTACTACAATGACTTTTTTTGATGCAACAGGCACTCATTTTGTGCACTTATGCCTGGGACAGCTGAAATATGACTTTTTTGTCTGTGAACAGACATTTCGTCTAATTCAAGAGATATCTGATGTTGTAGAATGTCATGAATGGAGACACTAGTTCCATTGGGTGTGTTGACTGGTACATATCAGAGTGTGTTGCAATTTGCACCAATGTCATTGTGAAGAACATTGTCAAAATTTATGCTTGATAAAAATGCTACATTCTGTAAAATTGGACAAAAGTTAAACATGGATTTTGATTAAATTGAAATATAAATAACATGCCAAACTAACAATATAAACATACCAGAGGTAAGTCCTCAATTCCCAGCATGTAGCTAAAGAACGCCCTTGTCCACAAATGACTCACTTGTAAAGCTAATGCTGCTCTATAACTGTCTTCTTCTTTAACAAGATACTTTAATTCATCCTGTGACAGTAGCATAAATCTTGCTTTGATATCAAATGTATCTATTTGCTATCAGGTATTTTCATCCCTTAAACTGTATTGGAGGCAAATTTGCCTCCAATTTGGATTTGCCAACAAAATCGCTTTATATCTTATGATTTTACTAACATATACCCCCCATATATATAGTTCTCCAGAAACCTCAGAACCACAGCTCTTAGTGCCTTAAGTCACGAGATAATAAGTTACACGAGTCGGTCAATATAGTCTTGTTTGTCTGCAGATCGCTTGCCGATCACTAACCCTAAGTATGTATATTTTAACTGATGGTGCTACAATACCCATACATTTAATGTTATAAACTATTAGTTAGTTATCTACTGTAGATATTCTTAGTAAAAAATGTCTTATTCTACTGACTTTGAAGCTACGTCAGACTCACAATACTTAGTTAGTTTGGAGAGTCAGCACCGTGAAGAAACAGATTTCAGTGAGGATGTTACTTGTGGAGTATGAATGCAAACTAGAGCAAGAAGAACAAGATGACAAAAGCTCTGAAGACAAGCAGAATAGTAGTAGCAATATAAGTGTTCAAGAAAGAAGAGGGAAAGGTGTGGGGAGAGGAAGCCAGAGAGGAAGCCAGAGAGGAAGCCAGAGAGGAAGTCAGAGAGGAAGCCAGAGAGGAAGCCAGAGAGGAGACTGCCAGAGTTTGAGCCAATGCAAAATACTCGTGGACTCAGTAAAAGTCATGTAACATTACCATCTGACTTGCAACTAGGCCCCATTAAGCTGCTTGCACTTTTTGAGTTGTTTTTTTCTAACACATTGTTACAGACAATAGTTGAGAATACTAATAACTATGCACAAATAAAGGGCAGTGAAGGTGGCTGCTTGTGGAAACCATTAACTTTAAATGAGTTAAAAATATGGTTTGCATTAGTAATTTATATGGGTGTTCATAAGATCTATGCAATTGAAGATTTGTGGAATTCCGATGCAATACATAGTATTAAACAATTTATGTCATTGCTTCAGTTCACATTTCTTCTGTAAATGAGCCACGTTTATATTGGTATTTGAAAGTGGAACCATTAGCATCACATATTCAGGAAATGAGCAAAAAGTTATATGTCCCTTGTTCACAAGTTTCTGCAGATGAGATGATCACTCGTTTTTCTGGCTGTAGTGCGCACACAATAAGGATGAAGAACAAACTGACACTTGAGGGTTATAAAATTCTTTCACTCTGTGATGCTGGATATACATATACATTTATGTTCACTTCACAGGTTGAAAAGAATACAGAAATAGAGTCTGTTGTCAGACTTAATGAAACAGGGCATTTAGTATGGCATTTGGTGAAACAACTTCCTCACAGCAAAACTTTTCATGTATATATGGACAATTATTTTTCCAATATTCCACTCTTTAAATATATGTGTGATAATGATATAGGTGCATGTGGAACTGTTCATACTAATTCAGCTAAGTTCCCTAAGGAATTAAAAGTAGGGAAAACTCTATCATTAGATTGAAACACACTTTCTGGCAAGGTGATAGATAATGGTTTGGCTAGTTTATGGATTGACAATGGGCCAGTAACAATGCTTACCACTATTCATGAAATTAGTAGTGATGAATGGAAAGTCATTCATAATCGAAGAAGCAAGCTCTAACTCTAATACAGTCCATCAAGTTTTTGGTAATGCCCCTAGAAAAGAATTGGCAATTCCAAAAGTGATTGATGTATATGGGAGGTGTTGATATTGCTGACCAACTAAGAGGCTATTATAACTGTCAACTAACAGTTCATTGCACCTGGTTTCCTTTACTATTCTGGTTGTTGGACACTGTGCTTGTCAATTGTTCTATTCTTTACCACAAAGCCACAGATGAAAATGTTAAAAATAAAGTCTTCAGAATTAATCTGGCATGGGATTTGATCAAAAGCACTTTGAATGATATCAGTAGAGTTGAAACCAGAGATCAGTCTTATGAAGAAACTGTCGTGCTGACTACTGCGGGAGAGCAGAAAGTAATCGACACTTGGGATTTAACTAGTCTCGACGGAGCGTGGCTGCCTCCTATTC